TTTTAAATCGTCAACTCATCAAAATAAAACCTTCATCAATAAATCCCGCTTTACAGTATACTATTTATGCATAAACTATATACCTTTGGAATTATCCAATCACAATACTGTTTCATAGCTTCTATGGCAGTAGTCAAAATTAATAAGCACTTTTTATCAATATTTTCTTCAGTAATGTCATCATCAAAGTGATCTGTCGGAATGTAGCAACCAATTTCATATATATGTTGTACAGAAGGTAACATAGAAAGAAGAAGTGAATATAGAGTTTCATGAGTTGTGATTGCATTTTCATATTTTTCAGTTGTGGAGTTCCCATCACTGCTTTTCCTGTCCTGAAGACCAGGTGCACAGTAACCATAAAAACTTTTAGAGGCATTGAGTTGATCAACAAAAGTTGCAATCTATGAAAATATAAAATTTAACTATAAAAATAGGCTACAGGATTGTCTTACTTTCTTGAACACAGCATTAATTATAATTTTCAAATTTGGAGGCTTGGTTTCACTTATGCTACTGCAAAGTGTATTGTAGGAAAAAAAGAACTTTTCAAATCGACTCAAAAATGCTTGTGGAGTATTCTTGAGCTCTGACTTTTTAACCACGACAATGCATTGAAATTGTGCTTGAACACGGCAAGGTTTAGTGTGAGCCCCGATTGAAATATTAGTGAATAACTTAATTCCTTTTTGTGGATCATGTATGATACGAAAACGTTGATTAAATAGTTCATAGAAACTCTCATGTATCCGATCAGTTTGAAACATAATAATAGTATCACCATTCTCAGCCGAGTGAATGATTTCCGCTATTGTGTTAACCTAGATGGAGATATCAGATTTTAAAAAATATTGTCTGAAATATAATTCATCTTACATGCATGCCACTTTCTTCGAAAAACTCGCTGCAGGCAACCATTTGTGTTTTTTGTCTGTCCAGTATATTGCAAGAGAACAAATATCTTACAGCAGAATCATCTTCACTGCTATCTATAATGAGCTTGTAACGAACATTGTTTTCAGTGTAATTAGCTAGATCTGGATCTATATCCAGTTCGTTTTCCTCCAGCTTTTCACTTTCTATAATACGAGGCAGATCATGAAGACTTTCATTGACCATTTCAAGTACATTTCTATGTTTCATTTGACAATATGAAACCTCCATCTATAATCACATGAAAGTATAAGCTCAGTATAATTTAAATTTTTTGTACATTATAGAGTTTGTGTATCAGAATAAACAAAATCATTCTCAGCTTCAAAAGAAATTGATGCATAAAAATAGATCTAAGTCTCATGTAATTTTTAAAAAGAAAATGCTATTTATGTAATTTAGTATATCATGCAGCCATGTAAAATTTGTAATTGCAATGATTTAAACCTACCACTTTCAAAAAGTAGTCAAAAACTTCAGAAAAATTTTCATGCCCATTGAAATTTCTTTCCAATGCTTGAAGAACAATATCTTCAGTAAGGAAGCCACTACCTCGTTTTCCTTTTATGTAACTTATAAAGTGCATGAAATCCCT